AGAATGCCCAGGTTCTGAACCCAATGACTCTAGAGATGGTGGCACCTTCCCAAGAAGCGCAGAAGAGGAATGGGTTCACAGAGGGAAGGAAATAAGCTCAGTCTGGCATTTGTTGAGCTTTTGGTGTTTACTGAACATCCACAGGTGATGCAGAAGACAAGGACAAATTTGGGCTGGATAGATAGATCTGGGAGTCAATGGCACAGAGAGAAGCAAACTCATGGTAACTGAAGAGTTCACCAGGATACTACAGAGAGAGAAGGTGGCCCAGTTCAGAATTATGGCAGACATCCACAACTGAACAAAACATACCAAATGTGATCGAGCAGGGTATATGAGGCGAGCCTTCTTCACTAAGTACGTTAAGTGCCTGTTGTGTCCAGAAAATTGTGCTAGGAACTTAAGCAAAGCTCAGATAAAATACACAGCCCAAAGAGCTATACAAAGCACTGCTCCAACGCATCTGTGATCTCATCAATGTACATACTCCAAGTATTTATTATAATCACTTATTAATCACCTAAACTATGTATATGCATTAGGGACCCAACAAGGACACCAGGTAACTTCAGAAGGCAGCACTAACAGCTGGAGAGGTAAGAAAGACCTTCTGTAAGAGGCAGCATTGAAGCTGAGTTTTGAAGGAAATTAGGAATTCTAATAAGGAAGAAGTATACCTTAGGCATGGGGGACAGCCTGTAGAAGGTATGGCAATGGGACCTGGAATACCTGCATGGGGAACAGCAGGAAGGACAACATGGCCAGAATACAGAGCACATGGACAGGTATGTTCTGCAGTAAGTAGAGAAAAGTGGGCCGCAGCCAGCTTGTGCAAAGGTTCAAATGTCGAACCGACGAGTGTATATCATAACCCAGAGGCAAGAGGGAACCTTTTTCAGGGGAGGAAAGACAGGGGGAGCAGCATCACAAAAACTCAAAGAGGAGAGGGTAGTCAACAGTGGAAAATGCTGCAGAGGGGCCAAGAAGGGTTAGGATCAATCCAATTTTAATTGTCAATGGATTAGGAAATTAAAAGACCATCGACAATTGTGGAGAGAGCTAGAATGCAAGGGGTTGAAAAGTGGATGAAGGAGAGGAAGAGGAGGCAGTAAGTACAGACAGTTTTTTCATTTATGAAAATGGGAAAGGAGAGAAGGATTATTAGTGCCAGAGTCAAGTGAGGTTTTTTTAAAGAACTGGGGAGATATGGGCGTGTCTGTAGGCAGCAGGGAAGAAGCCAGTAGGCAGGGAGATGTGGAAGGTGGGGGTGGAGGAAAGAAAGAGAGGATGTTTGGTGAGAGTCCAGCACACGTCGGAGCAGTCCAGCTGTGTGGGAGGGAGTAATACGAGATAAGGCTAAAAGAGGAATAATGGCGCTAAGGGAGAAGGACTTGAATATCCCGTAGGTATCAACATGCCCAAAACCAAACTCATTCTCTTTCCCATTGCTCCCAAATTCCTGATTTCTACTGAGGGCACCTGCATTCTTCCAGCCACCAACGTCTGCAAACTCAGCATCACTCCTCACATACAGCCCCAGTTGGGAGGCCTGGTGGGTGCCACCTCCGCAGTATCTTCCCTATCTGTCCTCTCCTCACACTGCCATTACAGCAGCCGCTTCCTCAGTTTCCCAGGCCCCAGTGTCTGTCTCGCTCTCCAAATCCATCCCAAAGTGACATTCCTAAAGCCCAGGCCTGACCCTGTCACCCCTTTGCTCAGGAACCTTGGGTGGATCCTTTTTGACTCCAGTAGAAAATATAAACTACTTGTTTAGCACGACCTGCACATCTTCCTCCTTCACAAACCACATGCCAGTCCAGTTAGCCTACTCGGTCCTAGGAGACAACAATTTAACTCCTGCCTCCAGGCCTTTGCCCTATACCCTAATACATACTGCCACCTTACCCTGATTCCTAAAGCTCACTCTAGTACCACCTTCTACAACAGGTCTGCTCTGAACCCTCCCCAGAGGCTAGTCTTTTCCTCTGCAAAATTCCTTTGTACCTCTTTTGCATTATTTTTCTGCTCTTTCCCACCAATAAAACATGAGGTCCTTGGTGGTAGGGGCTCTTTCCTTTTTGATATCGTATCCCGAGTGCCTAGCACGATGCCTGGTACACATGAAGTGCCTCATGCTCACTGAACAAATACCAAAGTTCACTGTTGTCAAAAGCAAAATCACTGTGCACTCTTCACCCTTCTAATATATTTATACTATACACTGTATAGAGGGGAGAAGCTATGCAACTAAGCATAATAAACTGTAGAAAAATATCAGAAAAGAATGGGGAAATTATCTCGTACTGACTTAAGTTTTAAAATGTCACAGGTGAGTCAGGCTTTTATTCAAAAAAGTATGTGCACTATCACAACTTCTACCTACCCGTGGGTCTACAGGCCCATGACCTAACAGGGGGACTTTCATATGCTGACACAATCTCTACGCTCACACTTACTAGAGGAAATATCTGAGATTCATGTTTACATTTATTCATTCCTACGGGGCATAGGAAGCCGCTCATGTTCTCAACAAAACCAATTATTGGTAATTTCACTTTCTGACAATATTGATTTCTTTCCTAACATTCTAAAGTGGTATTTACTGAGAAGCAGTTATTATTACTGTTCAGTCAATGTGTGTCCCACCGATTTACTTACTGCACTATGAATAATTGTTTATCTTCGAGGTAACAGTGGGGTATTTACTATGAGATAGTCAATCTGTCCCAGTCTATATCAAAACAATTTGCTGAATATGCCTTTGGGAGAATCTTGACAGGGAACAGCACCATAAGACCCCAGCATGAAGTCCAGTGACATCATACTGGAGACTTCCTTCAACACACACAGGAAGTCACCCCGAGTGACTCATGTATCTGTCCTCCCCCTAATCCCCATCTTGGGGGTTGACAGTCCACACGTATGAGTATCCAGCAAAACAATCTGTTACCTTTACTCTTTCTCAGAAAAGATCAAGATTTTATGTTTCATAGTTATCATTTTTAAAATTTCCTCTAATGCTTTGGTTCCTCTTCTAGTCTACCACATTCTGTCACCTTATATTTGTGCAGTTTACATTTTAAATTAAAATGTAAGACTTTCTATTCATCCCTATCACATCTCAGACTATTAGACCTGACCAAACATTCTAGCCTCTCGAGAGTACTTTGAATCCTGACTCTATCCTCTGGTGTTTTGGCTATCCCTAGCAGATCTGGACATCTTTTTGAAGTATGCAATCTTATGTTTCCTCTTCTTTAACACAAAAATTGATGCTACAAATATTTTGGTGTATATGGAGCTTTTTATCTTTACCAATGAATTCCTTGGGATATACCATTTTATTTGTATAATTCCAAATTTCCAGAATGGCTGTACTAATTTGCAGCTCCATCAACAGCGCATTAGTATGCCTGTCTTTCCTCACTTCTTCCAACACTGATTATTTATTCCTATCTCTTGCCACCTTTGCCAATTACCTGGATACGAGATGAAATCTTAGCACTGTTTTGATTTGTATTTCTCTTATGATTAGTGATTTGAAGCATTCTTTCCTATGGCTAATAGTTTGCAATTCTTCATTTGAGAATTGTTCATGTCCTTTGACTAGTCAGTCACTGGGGAATGGGTCTTAGTCTCAGGTAGGCAGTTCAATACAAGCTGAGCTTTTAAGAACACCAAGAATTCTATCATTGATGGTACTTATTTCTATACATGCAGTAATCCCCCAGCAGATTGTAAGCTTCTTTAAAGCAATTAGGATTTAAAGCTGGAAGACTCTTTGGAAGTCAACTAGTCCAACCCCTTCGTTTTGCAGATGGGGACACAAAGACTCGGAACAGTTATGTGTCTTGAATGCGAGCAAAATCTTAATTTGAACCCAGGGTCTTGAATGGGAGCAAAATCATAATTTGAACCCAGGGTCCCAGACTCCAAATCCAGAGTTTTTTCTACTACTCCCCTGCCCCCCCCCCCCTTCCTTTTCAGACCTATGTCTTTTCTAACATCCAGAACAGGGATTTGGAAGTAGTAAACTGGTGATTAAGCAACTCTCAGGGAAACGATTCTTTAGATTATAAACTCCCTGAGGAGCTGTCTTCTGACTCTCTTTGTATCCCCAGTGCTTAGCATAGTGCCTGGCACAAAACAGATGCTTCATAAATGTTTCATGATTTGCATGTTTTACTGGTAGAATTACTCGAGTGGAAGAAATGCTACTTTCCATCTTCAAGCCATTTCAATGACCGCGTAGGCTCAGCTGACACTTTGCTGACCATCCCGCCAGAATTATCCCTTCCCTCAATTCAGAAGTGAATGAGTATACAGGGAAGTCTGTCAGTCAGTCAGTCAGTCAGTCAAAGAAGCATTTATTAAGCACCTTACTGCACAAAGAAAGGCAAAAAGAAAAGAAGGAAAGAAAGATCCCGGCTCTGATGGAAGAGACAACATGCAAAACATCATGCACACATAAGATACTGACAAGATAAAGTGGAGACTGCAGGATGGCAGCTGAGAACGGAGGGAAGCCAGGGAGGGCGGGAGACGGTCATGGGGGGGGGTCACGAAGTCGGGAGACGGCGGGCGCTGTCAGAGCCCCAGCCAGGGGCCGATGTTCCTAGAGCTCGGGGTACAGGGGTGGGAAGGGGGGCACAAGGTAGGTGTAAATGGACTGGAAAGGGAGGAGGGGGCGGGAGGTGATGCGGGCCGGCGCACAAATACAGGAAACCGCAGGAAAGAGCCTAGCCCCAACCACGACGTCTTCGGACGGCCCGAGGCCCGCTCCGAGCTCGCTCAGCATCCCCGGGAGCCCCGGGCCGGGCCGGCCGGGAGGCCGCGCATGCGCGCCCCGCTCCCCTCCCCCCAACCCACCCCATCCCATCCCAACGCCTCCCGAGGCCCCCGCGGGGCCCGCCTCCGACACCCGCCGCGGCCCGCCGGCCCGCCGCGCCCGAGGCCCTCCTGCTCTTCCCGCACCGCCCCGTCCCCCGACCGGCACTCACTTGCCCGCCAGGTCCTTGTGAGACCCGCTCGAGTTCATAAGCTGGCCCAAATCCTGTCTCACCGCCGCCGCCATCTTTGCTCCGGCCCCGGCCCCACCCCCAGCCCCGGCGAAGGACGTCACGCTTTCTCCCGGAAGAGAGAAAGAGTGCGAGCCTCCAGCGTTCGGCCAGAGGGACCGGAAGTGCCATCGAGAAGCCGGGAGGAGGCTAGAGCGTCTCTCTTCTCCTCTCTCTCCCCCTCCCCGTCGCCGGAAGTGTGGGCGGAGCCGGAAAACGGGGCGGGGCAGCGGCAGGCGGCTAGTTGAGTTCCTGTTTAGAAAAGAAGAGGGAGTATGGGGTTTTAGGGCCCTCCTTATTTTACAGCTGGTGAAGGAGGCAGTGGGTGGCATAGGTGGGGTAACAACAACAGCGGTAATAAACCTTCACGCTTAAATGGCGCTTTAAGGTTTGCAAAAAAAAAAAAAATCTTTGCAGCACGTTTCTCTGATCAAGGTCTCATAGCCATGATCCATAAGGAACTGAATGTATAAGAATGAGAGCCATCCCCTAATAAACGAGTGGTCAAAGGATGTGAACGGTTTTCAAAGGAAAAAAATCCAAGCCAGCGACAATCACAAGGAAAAAAAAAAGCTCTAATTCACTAATAATTAGAGAAATTCAAATTAAAGCAACTTTGAGGATGTACCTCACTCAGAACACTGGCAGAGATTTAAAAAAAGAAAAGAAAGGAAAATGATCAACTGAAGGGGTTGTGGGAAAACAGGGACATGTGCACTTCTGGTGGAGCTGTGAACTGTTCCAGACATTCTGGAAAGCAATTTGGAACCATTCCCAGAAAGTTACTAAAATGTGTGTTTTATACCTGAAACCCACGTTTATCACTGCTGGGACTCTTTCTCAAAGAAATCAAAGAAAGAAGAAAACGTTCAAGTTCAAAACATATTCATAGCAGCTCTTTTCGTTGTAACCAAAATTTAGAAACCAAGCAGCTTTCCTCCTATTTCGTGAATAAATGATAGGAATTTAATGGAATATTATTGTGCCCAAAGCAATGATGAAATGGAGAGGTTCAAAGAAAACTGAAGAGATCTCTATGAACTAAAGTAGAGCTAAGTAAAACATAGGAGAGTAATTTATAAATGACCATGTTACAGAGGAAAACAACTTTGAAAGCTGATCTCTCTGGTCAATGCAATGATAAACCAAGAGTCCAGAAGACTGAAAATGAAATACACTACTTGCTTCCTGCCAAAGGTAATGAACTCACAATATAAGGATGCAAACATTTTTGGGCAAGGCCAGTATTGGAATATGTTCTGCTGGACAATGCATCTTTGTGATGGTTTTCTTCTCTTTCGTTTTTGACCACATTAGGTTTTTTCATGCAAAAATTTTAATTTCATACAACCAAAACTGTTCATTTTCTATTGTGTGAGCCTCTCTTAATGCTTATATATTAATATACTCTTCCTCTTTCCATAGATCTAAAAGGCAGTTTTTTTCCCTCCTCTAATTTATGTTGTGCTTAACTCTAGGTCATGTATCCATTTGTAGTTTATCTTGGTATATAGTGTCAGGTGTTATAGACCTAGTTTCTGCAAGGCTGCGGCGTAGTTTTCTCATCACTTACCTACTTATTATCTATTTACTATCTCTCTCCAATTAACTTTTTCTTTAAATATTTAGATGATATGCTATTAGGTACATGCATATTAAATACTGAAGTTGATTTATTATCCATGGTCCCTTCAAGCACAATATAAATTCCCTGTTTATCTGTTTCTACTATGTCTATACTTACTACAGCCTTATCTGAAATCGTGAACTTTTTTTTTTAATTCTGGAGAAGTATAATAGATTTTGCTTCAACCCCTAATTTTAACTCTATGAGAATTTTTATGTTTCAAGTGTGTGTTTACACATTGTTGGATCCTTTTTTTTCTAATTCATTTTGCTGTCCTCTTCCATTTTATTGAGTGAATTCATCCTGTTCATATTCATGTTAAATGTTTATTTCTCTCCAACTTATTTTCTTGACACTTTTTTCTCTTTGCTCCCACCCTGCTCTTTACAAATAAAGTGAGTAAAAGGGGAGTTTGACTCTTGTAATTTATAGATGAAATAGCCTGTCTCCTCTCTGTTGCAGCTCTTTTCTTTCCCTTTCTCTGCCCTCGATTCCAGGTTTTTACTCTTTATTCCTTTCCTTCTAAACCCCTTTTAAGTTCTTCTCTCCACCATTTCAATTTATGACTAATTGCATTTTTTCACCTGTAGCTCCAAGAAGCTGTACCATGCACTGTGGCCACACCCCACTGAAAAAGACGGGCTAAACCAGATTGAAGGTAACTGACAGGCCATCCCATCAGTGAGTTAGAGGTATGGCTACCCCAAGCACGTGAAGACTTCCCCCAGCAGAATGGGCAGATGAGAACAATTTGTCCAAACAACCAGGAAAGTGGCTGAAACGGGTACTGTGGAGTGATTAGAGCTTGGTCAGACATCAGAGACACCGAGGTTATCCACTGTATCCCAGGTCATCTTGACCTTTGTCTTGCCACTAGACTTTGATGACTCTGAAAGAGAGAGTAAGGCTAACAACTTTGTACAAGTCTGCCTCATTTAAATCCAGTAAATGGGCAAGCCAGGGTATCATCCATGTTGTCATCAGTCCTTTTCAAAAACAAAGGCGAACAGTAACCAGGTTTGCAAAGTACCATGTATACATTATCTCATGTGATTCTCACAATATTGTAAGGCAAGTGCTATTTTTGGCTCCATTTTACAGAAGAGGAAAACTGAGACTGAAAGAGGTTCAATGATTTGTCCATGGTCATGCAGGTAGTAATGTCTGAGGCCAGATTCAAATTCGGGTCTTTCCTGACTCCATATCTAGAATACCCTCTAGCACCTCACTGCTAGGATTGAGGCCAAAGTCTAAAGCTGGCATCCCCCACACCCAGCCAACTCAGAGCCTTTTTTGTTTTTCTTCTTTGCATAACACCGCTAGAATTTGAGGTGGCACAGTGAATATAATGCTAGACCTGGAGTCAGGAATATCTGAGTTAAAAAACAGCCCTACTAAAGCTATGTGACCCTGGGCAGGTCACTTCACCTTTGCCTGCCCCAGCTTCCTCATCTGTAAAATGGAGACAATAACAGCACCTCCCTCCCTGGGTGGTTGTGAGACTCAGATGAGATAATATTTGTGACACGCTTTGCAAACCTAGAAATGCCATATAAATGAAGTTGTTGTTAGTGCTGTGGCACAGAAAGCGTAGGCTGTCTCTGTGTGTTCCTGCTTCTTGCCCTGAGTGAAGAAGGAAACTCCATCTCATGTTCTCTTTGAACTGGTGACCTGTAAATCAAAACAGCTGCTGTGCTCTGCATTGTGCTAGTTCTGGGGCCACAAAATCCGGGGATTTACAGGGTATGGATGAGACAACATACTGTATATTGCACATGTGCACATTTCCTTTTCCATGTGCTTTAGGAAACTTTTAATATATTTCCCAGAATCTCAGAGTTGGAAGGAACTATAGCAGCTTAACACTTAGCGCAAACTAAGTCATCAAAGAATACTCATTAAAACGCCCCAGTGGTCATTCTGAGCAGCCTCTGCTTGAAGAAATCTAGTGATGGGCAACCATTCCCTCCTGGGGGAGGCCATCCTACTTTGGGATAGCTGTAATTGTTAGAAGGTCATTCCTTACATCAGGCCTCAATTTCCCCCTTTGCAGTTTTCATCCAATGCTCTAGGGCTGCCTCTGGGCCCGAAAAGAACAAGACAGTTCCTCGATTGCATGCAGATCAGAGGGTGCTACCTCTAGAGCTGAAAAGATGTTGGGACCCTTCTAGTCTAGCCTGTTCCAAAATGGAAGGAATCTCCTCATAGGATATACACCATGCAGCCTTTGCTTTTTCTGTCTAGGTCCTCTCTACTGTCACCTTCTGGCTAAGTAACTAATATAACTCGATTTTTAAAAAAAAGAATTCGAAAAGATAATAGTGAGGCCGTGAAATATTTTTAGCTTGTCCTAACTATAGGTGCTTAGAGGCTAGTAGCAAATACAGTTTGGCCTACTCTCCCAGAGTCAAAATGACTCCATTGCCCCCTCGCTGTTGTAGGGGTACCCCCCAAGGGGCTGGTTGTCTCTTCTCTATTGCCACTAGCTTGACCCCACTGGTTGTCTCCCTCTACTGCTAGCTGTCAGTGACTGATCGGCACTCCAGTTCCATGTCACCAGGTAACAATTTTTAGAGAAAGATGTACTTTGAAGATATAGCAAGAACAGAAATACAAACACTTTCCCCCTTGCAGCACCTTGCAGGGCACACTCTCCCTAATAATCACTTTGGTTTCTAGGGAGAGTAGACTCAGGTGGCACAGTTTCTGCATACCATTGGTTATACCTAGTTCACATCCAAGTGGGGCATCACTCTGTTCACCATGTTCTTAGCAGATCCGAACCAGCTACAGAATGTCTGTGCATGCTGCTCCAAAGTCTCTCCAAGACTAATGATTATGATTCTCGCTGAAGCAACTCCCCTATTGGAGGCACTCTGCACATGTACCAGTTAGTCCCCTGTTATAAAAATAAACACCATAGCATAAATCTTTTTTTATTAATTTATTTTGATTTATCAACAGTCACTTCCATAAGCTTTTGAGTTTTAAATTTTTCTCCCCCTCCCTCCCCACCTCCCTCCCCAAGACGTCACACAATCTCATATAGACTATACGTATACATTCCTATGAAACGTATTTTCACATTAGTTGTGTTGTAAGGAAGAATTAGAACCAATAGGAAGAACCACAAGAAAGAAGAAACAGAACAAAACAGAAGAAAAAGAAAGAGTAAATAGTATGCTTCAATCTGCATTCAAACTCCATAGTTTTTTCTTTGGATATGGATAGCATTTTCCATCATGAGACTTTTGGAGATATCTTAGATCCTTATATTGCTGAGAAGGGTTAAGTCTGTCAAGATTAGTTATCGTACAACAAGGCTATTACTGTGTACAACATTCTCCTGGTTCTGCTCACTTCACTCAGCATCAGACCATACAAGTCTTTCCAGGTTTTTCTGAAGTCTGCCTACTCATCATTTCTTATAGCACAATAATATTCCATTACATTTATATACCACAACTTCTTCAGCCATTCCCCAATTGATGGGCATCCTCTCAATTTCCAATTCTTTGCCAAAACAGCTGCTATAAATATTTTTGTACATATGGGTCCTTTTCCCATTTTTGTGATCTCTTTGGGATACAGCCCTAGAAGTCATAGCATATATCTTATAAATCAGTCAGTTATTTATTTGGGCCATTCTTGTTTATTAAAATGCAATTATTGTATATTTTTAAACCAGAAGGGAAATGTAACCAGTTCTTAGTTATCTGGTAATTTGAATGGGAAAAACGTGATCATTGAAATCCACAGATGATTAATGATACAAACTTTTCTCTGCTGAAGTAGCTTACAAGGGGATATGAGGAGATCTTAGATTCCACAACTACAAATAGTATTGGGCACAGATCAGAGGGTTGTAGGAAGGGACGAACACCTCCATTTTACCCAAGAGGATGATTAATTGATTTGTGTATGGTTACACAGATAAGGAAACTGTCAAGGGCTTTATTTGAACCTAATTATATGAGCTGGGTTCTTTCCACTGTACCACATGACCTCTAAAGGTGATGGAATATAACTGTTACTATGCCTGAACCTCTTACAGTTGACTAGCTTTGAAAATATGAGTTATTCTCCCCTCAGCTGAGCCACCTGGGCCCCTAATGTCTAATGACTTGTTTTCCAGCTGTGACAGTTAACCAGTATCTCTTAAATGCCTATGTTGTGTATAAAGTATTGCAACAAACTCTAGAGATACAAAAGAATAAAATGTGGCCATTTCTTGTACTTTTTGGAGAACAAGGTTAATTGAAAAAATAAAATAGAGGTGTGTAACATTTTCAGACATGACCAATCTGTGCATTTGTTTTACTTGTCTATTTTTATTTGTTACAAGAGGCTAAAAATCATGAAAAAAGGAAAGAAGGAAAAGGGAATCGATGAAACGTTTTAAATGCAAGGAAGAGAACATGGAAATTAAGAAACACACGAGCAGAGCAGCCTTGGAACTAACATGCTGATTTTACTATACGTTATAATTTTTTTAAAAAAAGCAACCTGTACTTAATAGATTTGATTTTCCATACACAGTTATGTATGTAATTGTTTGTATTTCTTGATATTTGTCAAGTTTGGAATTATAAAAAATTAAAATCCAAAACATTTATATGCATGCAAATAATGTGAAAATGATCACGGTGAAACCTCTGAACAGACAGAATGATGTAAGACAAACAAAAATGCTGGGATGCAAAATAAAGGAATAAACAGGGGTTATTCTGGCAAGATTCTTTTTTTTCCCTTCATCTGACGGGTTGGATCCCTCGGTGACTCACAGCAGTTTTATGCTGTGAGCTGAAGTTGTGCAGACTGCAAGAACCTCAGGGCTGGCTGTCAAAAGGTGATGGGTCCAAGACAGGGAGGAGGTTCAGCGGGTGAGGCCGAAGGCAGAGCAGAGACAGAAGGAAGGCTGGCTGGGGAGTTGGGGACTTGAGGGTGGCCAGGGGGAGCGTGAAGGCAGATGCATATGGGGATGCCTCCGGCCGCCACGTCACCTCCTTCCTTCATCTACGGGCACCCCCGCAGGAAAGGGGAGGCTGGAAACGGAGGAGGCTGGCCGCACTTTGCTTTCCCAGGCATCTAAGAAAGGCAGGGCTGCGCCTGGGCTCCGTTTCCGATCTGACTCTCCCCTCTTGGAGGGGGGCAGAGGCTGATCTGAAGTTTTCTGTTCTTTAAAGTTGGTTGATTGCTGCTTTAATTAGCACGTTAACACCCGTTCATGACAAGTATGATGGATCGGCCGCGTCCCCTCTGCTTAGAGCTCGAGTGCTGCGGTAGCAGAGGTCCACATCATGGACAGGAGATGGGGCCAGGGAATGAGGTCAGCCCGTCCCTCGCAAACGCGGAGAGTGACTTCAGCAGCAGGTCTTTCTAAAGTCCTTTTCAGCTGGACTCAGGGCTGCTGAGACATTGCTGCCCCAGCCAGGGCAAGAGAGAGGGAGAGAAGAGGGGAGGGGAGGGGAGGAGAAGGGAGGAGGGAAAGGGCTGCAGGGACCTGTTAAAAATCTACTCAGGATTTGTATTGATGTGGAAAAAAACAGCAACCCAAATATGCCCTGCCAGGTATACCAATGAAACACGGAATAGAAAAAGAAGACATTTTTTAAGGCACATGCAATATCACATCAATAAAATGTATTATAAAAACACCCCAAGAAGTCTTTGTAACTTGGGAGGAATAAAAACAAACCAAAAACTCATACAGGGTGTCCCAAAAGTCTTATTGCAGTTATAAGCTAGTAAAGCTATGTAAAGGACTCTAAATCATATATGTATGTATATATATTCACACTGCAGTAAATACAGAATGTAACCTCACAAAAAGTATTTTAAATTACTGACAAAATGCAATCTTTTTTTGTTTTTCACTAGAATGTTAATGTTTTTTATTTTTTATTTTATTTTTTATGTTAATGTTTTAAATTGAAATCTTGTTTATTTGAAAACTAAGAAAATATAGCTAGAAATTTTTTGAAAAGCAAATTAGGATTTTTGGTAAAATATATATGTAGTGTTGAATTTATTATATATTTTAAAAGAAAAGCTGTAAATGAGAGATCCCCAGTTTTGTGTATAGTGTCCTTTTTTTGTTGTTATACCATGTATATGAAAATTCCCATTTCATTCGATGTTTGTTCATTTCAAAATAAAAAAATATATATTTTAAGAATACAAGGGAGCAGCTAAGTGGTACAGTGGATAGAGCACCAGCCCTGGAGTAAGGAAGACCTGAGTTCAAATGTGACCCCAGACACAACACTTACTAGCTGTGTGACCCTGGGCAAGTCACTGTTTACCTCAGTTTCCTCATCTGTAAAATGAGCTGGAGAAAGAAATGGCAAACCACTCCAGTACCTCTGCCAAGAAAACCCCAAATGAATCAGACACGACTGATAAACAACCAAGCAACAACAGTGAGAATTTGGTAAATACTACCTAAGTTGGAGTCACCCACATAGGAGGGACCTGCTTCTGGAAGCCAGGAGAACTGGCCCACGTGTGGACATTTTGTGGTGACCCACCACTGGGAGTAGCTTCTTTTCACTGGCTGCATCTTTCTATCTACCTGACCAAGCGCTGTCCCTCTCTTTCTGGTATTTATATCCACAGAATGACTCACCCACAGTCAGTGAATGCAGGTAGTAAGGGGGAGGCCGGGGCAGGGAAGGCCTGAGGGCTACCTCCCTTTCTCCCTTTTTAGGCCATATGGTCTGTGATGAATGAAAAACCCAAGAGACAGAGTTTCTGGGTAATTAATAGCCTATTAATTAGGCTAGTTAATAATCAAAAAATTGATGGTCAGTAACCAAATACAAAGACGTGCTGAGACAGGAAGCCTTAATGTAGTTTTGGAAAAGGGGGTGCCCTGACAGGTGAAAATGAACCCTGATTGGTGAGCAATTAATGAGGGAGTGGGCTAAAGAGTCTTCAGCTCCTCCTGCTGAGAATATGGCTTGATCATGAGACTCAGCTGCCTCCACCCAGACCTCTCTGGTTGGTTTTGTCTTTCATGAGCCAGGTCATCCTAAACTCCAATAGAGGAGTGCGAGGCCATGGGCTCACTGCATTGGGGCACCTAGATTAGATTCTGTTACACTTTTAACAGAAGTAAGGTCTTCTAGTTGAGAGATCCAGGAGCATGTTCCTTGAAAATCTGGACAATTTCATCAATCAGCTGACATATAGGGGCTGGGCCCTAAATGAGGAAATAAAGGATGAAAAAACTGGATCCTAGTTTAATAATTGGATATTAATAGAACAGAAAATAATAATTTATCTCAAGTCCCAAGAAACAGGCTTAGGGATTTGGTGGTTTTTATGTCTGTCCTTTTCAGCTCTGGGTGCAAAGGAATGGAATCACTGTCTCTAGAGCTCAAGTCACGGGCATCTCCAAGCCCAGGATTTGAGGCCAAATGCTATAGCCAACCCAACAGAGAAGTTCTGAGGAGCCAGGAGGATAACTCAGGGGTGGGCTTTGGACTTGAATTGGAGGGACTAATGCTAGATAGGAAATGAGTTAAGATATGAGCCCATTCCCCTTCTTGGGAGACTTGTGGTATGGGGGATTATGCTTCCCAAATGTTGGGGGAAATGTGTATATGTTGGTTCTTATAATACCTCTGAAGTAAACGTTCCTCTGTAAAAGCTGATCCAATGTTAAGAGGCTAAAATGAATCAGAATCCTAGTCAGTGAGCCTCTAAAAAATTGGGAACACAACAGAAGGAGCTCAGACTGATGGATGGAGAACAGAGACCCCACAAACCTCTTCAGGATAGTGGCAAACCTTTAGGGCAAGGTCTCAGGAATCTGCAAGTGAGAGCTTAGAGTGACTCACTGACATGGACTGACTAATGCTATTAGATGATGCTTACCAGCGATGGGTGGTAGCATGAGCCAACTGCAAATTCAGTATTCGCCACTAGTCAGGGAAGACTATGATGGATGCAGGAGCCTTGTTCCAAAGTGTTGGTGATACCTAAAAAAAGGAGCAAAAGTCACGTGAAACACTGCAAGGGCTGGATTACAAGCACATGGCAGTACATTTCTAAAAGTCTGGGATTTTCATCAAACTATATGCTGGGAGATCATGAACCTTGGTGCTAGTGAACTGAACCAACCTTGTTTGCATCAGCTGTATGTGCAAAAAGAAGAGATAAGTGATCAGGGACTGAGACAAGTTATACAATGAAAAATGAATGAATATTCAAATGAAGTATTTAGTAAGTACCAAATGTGCAAAGGGGCAGCTAGGTGGCGCCATAGTGCATAGAGTGTCCAGACTAGAGTTGGGAAGACTCATCCATTTTACTGAGTTCAGATTTGACCTCAGACACTTTCTAGCTGTGTGACCCTGGGCAAGTCACTTAACCCTGTTTGCCTCAGTTGCCTCATCTGTAAAATGAGCTGGAGAAGGAAATGGCAAACCACTTTGTATCAGGAATAATCGTGTCAGACACAACAGAAAACAACTGAACAGTAACCAGAAATATGCAAAAGCACTGAGCTAAGCATTGTGGATCCAAACAGAGGAGGGAGCCATCCCCTGCTGTCAAGGAGCTCCCATTCCAAAATGGGGGAGGCAACATATGTTGTAAGATAAAGCCTAGTGGTCTTGAGACCACCATGACAGTCTCCCCTTAAAGAAGGTTATAGTTCATAGAATCTATGCAGGGAAACCATTGCTATGAAATCAGGCCATGGAAAAATCCTGGCAGTAATATTTTAAAGTTTATACAGCTGTGCATCCAAAAATAATATCTTGCCAACTACCAGTTTATCTTTTGCCCCTGCACCTGCGTACCTCAAAAATCCCCTATGTGCCTTGAACCTTGATATGCAAATTGGCCAGCTCCAGGAAGCCACCAAGATCAGAGTTTAAGTATCCCACTCTCAGAGGGATACTGGGGAGCGCACTACCCCTCCCTGAAAGCCCATCTCCTGTCCTCGGGAGCATGATGGTCCTTTGGGACCAAGCTTTCCCACATGAATGGTCACTTGAATATGTCCCCATGCTCCCCAACACAGTGTCACTCTTGTGTGAGTTTTATTCTATGTTAATAAATATATGTCTGAATTGTATATTGGGACCTTTCCTCCTCTTCTTCCCTTCCCCTTCATCTCCCACTCTTTCCTATTACTTGTCAGTAAAACTTGAATATTAAGCTGGCCTTTTTTTGTTATGACATTATTCGCAGCAATAGAATTAAATAAGGGATTCCCCTCCCCACCCCCATCTCTGCCTGGCCTATGGTCCTTTCCTTAGACATAAACCAGTCTCTGGACAAGGCCTTTCCTTTCTGACAGTTGTACCTCTGGTAGGGGCTTGGGCACTCTAAGCCCAGTCCTAGAAAGTGAGAGTCAGAAGGGGCATCTCTGTCCTCCCTTATGCCAGAGGACTGTCACAAGATGCTGTCCTTGTTGGTTTCAGCAGCAAGTCAGATGAGAAGGTCCTATGGGTGCAGCAGTAAGGCAAGGCAGATGGTAATGCCTCTTTTTGAATGTCATTTCCACTGATAAAAATCATTTCAGTTCCTGATGTTGAACCATTTGACAGTGACAAGAACTTTATTTTCTGGGTCTTCAGCAGCTATGGCTGTAGCACCTGCTGGAACTTCTCCACAGGAGTGGTTTCTTTCTTTCTCTCTTTCTTTTATCTTTCTTTCTTTATAATTTATTCGATAAATATTTATTGCATGAAAGCATATTAGAGAAATATTTTCTCCTACTGTGAAATTACAATTTCTTCCTAATACTCGTGATAACTACTCAAGATCCTAGGCTGTTTCCATCAGTGTCTTAGGGAAGATGGCAGCCAAAGCGGTGGTGGTGGTTTAACTTATCTGGCACATGCTGCCTCTGGGGGCCTACCTGCTTCAGCTGCCCTATGTGTGGCAGTTGGTGGCAATGATAAAAGAGTAAAGAATCAGCCCACTGAAGGCACCTTATTGTTGAGACAACGGCAGAACTATACAATGCAGTCCTATGTTGGATGGCCACTGGTCCCACCCATTGTACCAGGAGGGAGCTGGTTCTACCTAGTACATATGATTCTATGGCCAAGAAAGCTCTACACAATGACTTTGGACTTACAGATCAAGAAGGAACTGGGGAGCTAATGAGTACTGTAATATTCTTACTCTCCATTGTTTTCCTCCCCCATCATGCAAGTGCATAGAAATCTTTCAATTAGGGTAGAGTCAAGGCCAGTGACTAGAGAGGCCCTACCTAATGGGAGGAGAAGAGGATTGCCTGGACCTGGTTAGTCAGTCACACTCTCATTCATGGAAGCAAGCTAGGGGATGGAGGGAGGGAATGCTCCGCCCTTTCCTTGTCAAACAAACAACCTTCCAAAGCCTCACAGAAATCACAAACACTGTGCTGGTAATGAATGTGAGCCCAGAATATAAGGAAGTCTTCTTGTAACACCACATGTACCATTTACAAGAGCATAGATTCAGAATTCAAAAGGTCGTCTGTGTACAAGACTCTTGTTTTACAGATGGGGAAACAGGACCAGAAACGGTAAGGAACTTGACCAAGAACATAGTGATAACAGAGGTGCGATTTGAACTCATGTCCTGTCTCTAGATCCAGCTGTCTTTCCCATTGTACCACATTGCCTCTTTGCTTCTTGGACTAGTGACTCTGTTGTTGTTATCCAGTTGTTTTCAGTTGTGTCTGACTCTTTCATGACCCCATTTGGGATTTTCTTGGCAAAGAAACTAGAGTGGTTTGCCATTTCCTTTTCCAGTTCAATTTACAGATGAGGAAACTGAGGCAAACAGGGTTAAGTGACTTGCCCAGGGTCACACAGCTAGTAAGTGTATAAGTCCAGATTTGAACTCATGAACATGAGTTCCTGGCTCCAGGCCCAGCACTCTATCCACTGTGCCACCTAGCTGCCCTAGTGACTCTTAGGTCTAGACAAAAAGAGTACAAAAGTCATTTGACCTTTACTAAGTATCTAATGCATATTAAGAAGTAATTAAGTATATAAGTATATTAAGAAGTAATTAAGAATAGGGACTTTCAGGGCACATGACTCACAAGATGGCCCATTTCTCCATTCTCCATTAACTCTCCCCCCTCCAATCTACCCCCCCTTCCACCCCCACAAATGGGGAGTTTTGCACCAGATGTAGAGAAATTATAGCTGAATTCACAGGACCAAAAAGAACTGTGACAAGATAAAAGCCTTATGAATTAACAACAGAGAACATTCATCCTTAAAGGGCTCTCTCAGCATCCTTCCCTCACCAGAGACCCCTCCCTGCAAGGATATAAAAATCAATAGACAGCAACCCTCGGGCCAGTGCCTGAACTTTCCTTAGAATATTCTGCTATTTGGTACCCTTCATGCTCTATGCACCTCCCATCGTCAGTAAGCAGCAAATACTGATTCTGCCCAGCAACCTGAGTAGGAGATGCCTTCTGCCTGTGGTGGCCTCAAGGTTAGGGACCCCCCAAGGTTACAGGAACTCAGTCTAGAATGACCTCCCTTTTTTCCCCAACCCTACATAAAGCAGCAGACTCTGAATCCGCCCTGGCAGAGAAGGAAAGGATGAGAGCCAGGGGAGCAACTGAGGCAGGGAATCAGTCTGAGGGGACTGAGGGAGTGGAAAAAACAGATGAAATAGACAGTTCCAAGCATGGGGGAAGTCAGTGGTGGACACACTCAGGGTTGGGATAGAGGGTCTCGTTGCAAGGAGGCCAGTGGCACTGGATTGTGGAGAACCTGGATGTGGGAGTGGAGTGAGGCAAAAGAATTCTATAAGAAGTAGCCAGGTTATGCAAGGCCAAACAGAGGATTTGATATTTGATCCCGGAAGCAATAGGAGCCTGGATCCAGAGTTTATCGAATTGGGGGAGGGAGGCGACACAGTCAGACTCGTACTTATGAAAGATCAGTTTGACCATTGAATGGAGACTGGACCGCAGGGAAAAGAGACAACAGGAAAGCTAGAAAGAGGACAGGGTTTGGGAGGAAAACAATGAATTCCATTTTGGATATGTTGAGCTTAAGAGGTCGATGAGCCATCCAGTTTGAGATTTCCAATAGACCGTTGGAGATGCTAGACTGGAGCCCAGCACAGAGGTTAGGTCAAGACGAAACAATCTGAAAATCATCTGTATAGAGGTGATAGATGAATCCATGAGAGTTGATGAGATCACCCACTGAAATGGTATAGATGGAGAAGAGAAGAGAGCCCTGAGGGACCCACGGTTAGTGTGTGTGACCCAGATGAAGATGCAGCAAAGGAGACCGAGAAGGAGTGATAGGAGAAGACGGGCCATAGAGAATAGTGTCATGAAAACCCAGAGAGAAGAGCGTATCAAGGAAAAGGGGTGAGTTGACAGTGCCTAAGGCTACAGAGAGGTCAAAAAAGACAAGAACTGAAGAAGGTCATTATATTTGTCAATTAAGAGATCATTGGTAACTTTGGAGAAAACAGTTTCAGTGGGATGATGAGGTTAGAAGTTAGATTGTAACAAGTTCAGAAGAGAATAAAAGGAAAGGCGCAGAGGCCCCGCTACTGTCACGATGTATTATTACAGTGGGTGCCAAATTCGGAGTTCTCTGCATTTTTCTTTAATACATCAAATGCAACAAGTCAATAGGATGACAAGACCAATTCTAGCTGCTATAACTATATGCCAAGCGGTATGTAAGAGGGGTTGAGGGCAAGACCTTGAACGTGAGGAAGGTTAGAGTAAAAGGAGTAAAGAAAACTAGTAGTAGGTGGAGACAAAAATCTAGCATTGAAACACAATTGAGTGACCACACCTACAGTCTCCTGAGCAGTAGTCTATTAAGAGACTGTTACCAGGGGCAGAGCTCTCTGGGACCATGGTGGTCGAGTTTAAGGAAAATGGAACTTAGAAATAACATTATTGTACTTGTCAGCTAGTTGGTAGATATCTGATCCCCTAAACCATAGCTCTTACAAAATTGACATTCTGTGTGTCTTTGCCGATTACAACTATAATACTGCTCATTTGGACAGTGTCCTTCCTGTCTGAGGTTAGCTTATCATACACTACAACTAGACTCATTTGTAATGCTTGCGCACACTGTAACCGTGTGATTGTCAAGGCCAGAAAGTTCACTGATTCACTATTTTAGATCAAATATTTTCAC